ATGGTTGTTCCATTCCCAGATTTCCAGGAATCTCCATACTGCTTTCCATATTGGCTGTACCAATTTGCAGTCCCACCAGCAATGTATGAGTGTGCTTTTTTCCCCACATCCTCACCAACACTTATTGTTATTTGACTTCATAATAGCTGCCATTCTGACTGGAGTGAGATGATATCTTAGAGTAGTTTTGATTTACATTTCTCTGAGTGCTAGAGATGATGAGCATTTGTTGATTGATTGTATATCCTCTTCTGAGAAGCGTCTGTTCAGGTCCTTGACCCATTTGTTGATTGGGTTATTTGTTTTTTTGGTGTTTAGCTTTTTGAGTTCTTTATATACCCTAGAGATTAGTGCTCTATCTGATGTGTGAGAGGTAAAAATTTGCTCCCAGGATGTAGGCTCTCTGTTTACCTCACAGTTTCTTTTGCTGAGAAGAAACTTTTTAGTTTGATTCCATCCCATTTATTGATTCTTGGTTTTAATTCTTGCACTATAGGAATCTTATTAAAGAAGTTAATTCTTTATCTCAAGAAGTTGAGTTACTCTTGCAAGTGGCACATGTTGTCTCCTTGTTTTGATGTGCCTTAGGATGTATTAAGTAGGCTAATGGATTTAAAATTAAAATGGCTTAGAAAAAATATTGCCTTTCCACAGGCACAGAGAGAGCAGGCATTTGCTGTTTGATTAAAAAGAACAACCAAAAAAAAAAAAAAAAAGCAGAGAAGAAAAGAGGAGAAAAAGAATAGAAAAGCAAGCACATAAACAGTTTCTTAAGCTGAAGTTAAGGAATTCGCTGGACATATGTTCCTTTGGAACATTTTGCATTTCAGTTGTGAAGGTGGCTGCATTACAAATGAACTGGGATATATTTAGCACAAAGACTCTACTCCTGTAGGAGGAGCCTTTCCTGACAGTTGCCACAGTTAGACATTAGCCTGGAGTCGAGGGCAGATGTGTTATACCATTAGGCTTGCTGATGGCATTTGATGGCTAACTGACTTTGTGTTTCTCCTTTTATATGTGGGCCTGGATTCCCCAGAGCATCTCTGTAAGACAATTAAAACATCCTGCGTGCATTTCCAGGTAGTATCATCACCGATTACCAAGAGCGGTGAGTGAGATTTCACTCTGATCTCAGCCTGTCCCAGAGTCTCACTCCTACAGGATTCCCTGTGCCCACTGCCTTCTCTGCAGTTTAATGATTCTTTGTCCAAGTATTATTAATTGTGGGAATCTCTTTTTCTAAATGCCTCAAGCCTATAAAATAAGTTCATTGATTTCACAAGAAGAATAGTAGTTCCCAGGAAAATCACCCGTAGAAGACAGAGATTTCTATGAGGGCCCAAACTGTGGTGCGTGGCTTGCTTTGATATCCTCAGCAATTAAAACACATTTCACATATAGTGGCCTCTTAATAAAATTTTTTTGAAGATGCTGATGCAAAGATGGATGAATGGATGAAAAAATCAATAAATGGATCTATGGCCCAATTTTCTAAGGAGTACACTGCCTTGATTTGTAAGTTATAAAAAAGGACACAGTATCTGCTTTTCTGTATGATTAAATTGGAGTCCAATATCCCCTGGAAGAACCTTAAAAAGAAAGCATGCTTGGGTTTTTGAAAACCATAGCTTCTGAATGATTTAGTCTTCTGTGACAGTGTGATTGACAGCTGGAGTTTCCACCAAGAGGAGAGGGAAGAAGGAAGAGATGGGGGAAGCAGGAGAGGGGGTGGGGAGAGAGAGGAAACAGCAGGAAGGAATCCGAAGAAAGAAGCCAAGAGAGAAAGGGAGCCAGGAGTCACACCATTCGCAGTTTTCCTTGCAGGATGGACAGACAGACTCAGGAACTCTATGGTTTAGGACAATGTAGCACTTTCATTAATATTACTATAATTAGCTTGGCTTTAATTCTTCATACAGTGTTTAGAAATTAGAGTTTTTAAAAATACCAGTATGGAAGACAATGTTGATTCCTTGTTCCCATTAAAGAATAATCTCCCATTGGGGACAGCAGAGCTCTGTAGATGTCATAATGAAAGCTCTTAGAGTCCCGTGACTGGATTCTTTTTTGATTATTTTAATTTGTTATACAGGACCACAGAATGCATTACAATTCCTATTGCACATATAGAGCACAATTTTCATCTCTCTTGTTATACACAAGTAGAGTCTCACCATTCATGTCTTCATACATGTACTTAGGGTAGTGATGGCCATCTCATTCTGCTGTCTTTCCTCCCTCCATACCCCCTCCCTTCCCCTATCTAGAGTTCATCTAATCCTCACATGCTCTCCTCCACCTCAACCACATTATGAATCAGTGTCCTCAAATCAGAGAAAACACCTGGCATTTGGTTTTGGGGGATTGGCTAACTTCACTTAGCATGATATTCTCTAACTCCATCCATTTTCCTGCAAATGCCATGCTTTTATTCTCTTTTAATGCTGAATAATATTCCATCGTGTGCCTATACCACATTTTCTTTACCCATTCATCTACTGAAGGGCATCTAGGTTGATTCCATAGTCTAGCTATTGTGAATTGTGCTGCTATAAACATTGATGTGGCCGTGTCCTTGTAGTGTGTTGTTTTTAATTCTTTTGGGTATAGACTGAGAGTGGGATAGCTGGGTCAAATGGTGGTTCCATTCCCAGTTTTCCAAGGATTCTCCATACTGCTTTCCATATTGGCTGCACCAATTTTGCAGGCCCACCAGCAATGTATGAGTGTGCCTTTCTCCCCACATCCTCGCCAACACTTAGCACTATTTGCCGAAGATATGATTCTATACCTAGAAGACCCAAAAAATTCCACCAGAAAAACTGTAGAACTAGTAAATAAATTCAGCAAAGTTGCAGGATATAAAATCAACACCCATAAATCAAAAGGCATTTCTGTAAATCCGTGACTTGATTCTAGTGTAGCACATGCTCAAGAGTTATGGAGCGGTACAACAGTCGTTTCCAACCTTACTATACCAACAGAACCTGAGTAAAAGAGTAAGTATTATTTGCACCCAACAGCAGAATATTTAAGATACTGTTAGGAGATGTTAGAAATACCACAGTTAACAAGAAAGAGATCCTGCTGTACATCGCTCACGTCAGAACCAGTAGCCAATGCTGCCCACACTGTCTTGGAGAGAAGAGTGTCACCACCTGCAGATCTCACCTTCCTCAAAAGCTGTGAGCACAGGCTCTCTGAGTCCCCTGAGGCAGCTTGCCCTCCACATGGCCCCAGGACTGAACTGCCACCCTGCACTGGCTATCTTAATTTAATTTTGAGAATGATGGAATCCAAAACTACAGATTTTTACCTTAGTTCACCTTCATTTGGTAAAAGTAAATACCGGACTTTCACAGGACTGGTTGTGGGAACTGAACAAAATGCAGGACCTTCAGGGACTCGGTCCCTCCATCTTTTGCTCTAGTGTTCCTCTAGGGTATTGTTCCCAACCATGTGGGGGGAGCCTGGCCATCACCCACCCACATCCCAGTTCTTGTAAAGAGAAGAGCTGAGTGAAAGGTTTCCTTTCAAGCCAGGAATGCAGAAAATGAGCACGTCATTTCAGTGATAATTACTTGCCCAGCCACAGTTAGATACAAGAGAGGCCCACAAATGTCCAGCTGCAGACCTGGCCACAGCTGTCTCATCAGAAGAGAGAAGCAGAGTCCAGGAGGCGACAGCAGTCCTGTGACTGTCCGATAGCTCAGCGTGGCGAGGTGGCCTTGGGAGTTATCTGCCTTGGAAGCATCAGCACCTCTGGGGTGCTCCGAAGAAGCCCCTCTGGTTACTCTGCCCATCTAGGTCCCTTCCTCTGAGCCCCGGCTGGGTGCTTCCCTTGTGCAAACAGTACAGCCTGCGTCCTCCAACAGTAGCCACTGGGTCCCACCTGGGAGGGCACCTCGATGGGCCTCAGCCTGGCAGGTCAGGGCTCTGGAGTCCAGCTGGGAGGTCGATCCAGGGTCTGCCTCTCCACTGGAGTTGCTTGCATGACCTTGGGCTTGCTCCAGATGACCTGAGCCTCAGTTATTGGTGTGTGGTAAGACAGGAGTTTTGATGACCGTGACCTCATGTTTCCAGGAGAGGCTTGCTGTGGGGACAAACGGGCATTCTATGGCAACTGGCGAAATGCTGGATGGGGAATACTCCACAGATTCTCCCAGATGTGGAAATGCATGTTAGTCTTTTTTTGATTCGACTTCCTGAAAACTCACTGTCATTTTTTCCCTCAATCTTTATGTGCAATCTTCACAGATATAGATTTTCTTCTGATCCTTATTTTCAATCAAAAGTTCATTTCCAGGTTTTAGAAAATCTCATTTTTAAGGTTAAAAAATGGTTCTTTGGATATCGGTTGTATCTGACTTGGCGTGAGAGTCAGTGGAGGAAACAATGAGCATGGCCCACTTGGAACCTTCTTCCATGTCATGGTGTCTGCAACTCAGCCAGGGAGCCTGGTTTGGCATCTTTTTACAGGGTGACCCCGAGTGTGTCTCCCCTTTGACCCTGCACATGCACGGTGACTTTACCTCTTGCACCCTCACAGATCAGCATATCCTTGGCATACATGAGTGCTCAGTAAATGTTTGTGAATAAGTAAAGAGGCAAGAACTCCTAGATTTCAGTGTTATTTTTCAACTCAACACCAATGTACACTAATCCGTGTTGAAGAGAAGAACATTTTGCTAAGAAAAATAATTTGAGAATATATGTGTTCAAAGATCACAACTCAAATGGTATCAATCGCTTTCCACTGGAGAGTCTCAGGAGGCAGGAGGTGAACTGCTGATAGGTGAAGTTTACTTCCACAAAACACAACGGCATCAGACAGTGGCCTGAGATCAAGCCCAGGGAAGCCCGGATCAGCAGTCTGTGCTTCTTGCCAATTCCTTGCTAATCCTTTAAAGAGGACAGGTAAAGCCAAGACCAGTAGCTTACATTACACAGGGTGATTTATGGACACCAGCTACTCAAACATTTCAATCCACACAGAGTGCATGCAAAAGAAGCTTATTTCAGAAATGTTTAATTGGTTAAATGTGCCATAGGTGACTGAAGAATACAAAGGAAAACTTACAGCCTTTAAGTGCCTCCCTTCATTTAAAAACAAAAACAAACTTAAGGTTTCTCTTTCATTGTTCATAGTGACAAAGGCTTTTAGGGTAGGAGAGCAAACCCTGAAAGCCTGCAGCCTCCCCTGGGATGTCCAGTTAGGGTTGTCCAGTGAAGATGACCTTGCAGATAGACCTCCCACTGAGAGGGGGTTTTGAGATGAGCTTTGAACTCTCCTCCCCAGGGGCCAACAGTGGCATTAATGATCTTCCACGTCAGTGTGTGGTAACCCAACTTTCACATTCACTAAACCGGTAATCACATTTCTGAAACTTAGAGCCACGATAAATTTGCAAAACCCCTAAACACCAAACAAAACAATATATTGTCTCTTTAGATCTGAAAAAATAAAAACGTCAGAAAGACATTCTAAATCTTTGAAATAGAACTCCTGAAGTGTCCATGAGCTAAGTAGAAGTCCTGGGTGTTGAATGGCTTTTGTTTTCATAATTGACAAAGATCACAATAATGTGTGATTCTATTTACTTTTAGATGGCAAAGTGACTTAAATGCAGTAGGAATTTAAGAGGTGACCCCCCTGTTCAACCGTCCTGGACGTGGTTCCTTCACAGTGCTGCTACCTTTCAGGGAACAAGGGAAGGACAGAGGGAGGGAGGGTCAAGTTCTGAAAATTCATTTTAATTTTTTTTAAAAGACACAATGCTCAGTAAATAAAATTTATCAAAATACACATAAAGGAGAAAATTCAGCATTCTTACTATTATAATTAGTTGTGACTGATGTGATAATTCTTGGTTATACATGTACTGCATATAAGATATATTCTGATCTTTTACTTAAACGTATGGCACTTTCCTTGTTCTTAGGTAACCCTAGATGTTGGTTTATGATTGCTTAATAATCCATTGTACACATGTGCCATAGTTTACTTAACCACAGCTGGGTTTTGAGTTTGAACCTAGGTTAGAATGCAGATGTGTTTTCAGTGTCACACACTCCGGGCTGAGACACCAGAAGCACTTGGTAGCATGAATCAGTTCACAGTTTTGGTAGAGGTATCCCTTCCTTCTTGGCATGCTGTGGCATATGCTTCCTAGTTTTTATAGGGAAACTGGGGCCTGGCATAGGATTTAAGCCTTTAAATGTGCCTGGGGACACTGGCGGCCTGGTGGGTCTGTGGCAGCTCTTGGTAGAAAACTGTACGTTTGACAGGTGCAGGGTGAGCTGCCTAAGTTCGTTGGAGAAACTGCTTATCATGTGCAGTAGGGGACTGGGCAGGCTGGCCCAGGGGATGAAGAAAACAGCACAGTGTGGAAACACCAAGAAACCTGGGAGTTTATGTACTGTAAGTTGACAAAGTCTAGAGAGAAAACAGGGTGGAGAAAAGACCATATTAAAGACAAAAGGCAAAACAGAAAGTGAGAGTGCAGGTTGTTGGCTCGGGGCTGCTCAGCGCCAGGTTCATCTTTCTCGTCTGCTTTGTGAAAATGAATCTGAGCCCTTCAGTTTTTCCCCTGTGCTGTCTGGCATGACACCAGGTCTGTAGGGGGTGCTGAAGAGACGCTTTAGGAGGAGTGGATTTTGTGTTCCCCTTCTGGGGCTTGCTTGGCAGACTCAGCGGGGCTCCCAGGAGCTGGGCTGGCAGTGCCCAGGGGGAAGCAGCTTATCCTGGTCCCCAGGGCAAGTGTGTCCTGGGGCCTCCAGTGAACAGCTCTCCTTGGTGCCTGGCTCTGCGGCTGGGGCGCACTCACTGCAGGCTCCTGAGGGCATGTCCCAGCACGTTCTGCCAGAGCCTGACCCAAGTCCTCCACTCTCCAGTGAAACCATGTGCTGCTTTCAGCATCTGGAGGGGTGCGCTTCTGCAGCTCCACGTTCTCTTGCGGATCCTGTGCCCCTTGGAGTTCTCTTCCCTCGTCACACAGCGCTGCTCCAGGCCTGCTATGTTCACAGTTTCTGTGTCAACTTGCTCTTTTCAGCTTTTGTCTCCTTCTGGAATCTGCCTTCAGATAGAGATGTAAGAAGAGTGGTCAAAAATAAGAGAAGAAGGCATGGAGGCAGAAAGTGAAATTAAGAAAATTAACCCAGAATGAAAAGCACTGTACCAAAGCAAGTTAGTGACATGGAGCCCACAGGGAACAGAGACGGGGCGGAGAGGACCCTGTTTTGTCAGGGGCTGCAGAGCAACGAAAGCCTCAAATCAGACAATTGCCTGTGTCCGATTTCAGAAACTATCTTACGCACAATAAAAATTATAGGAACTGGCTGCTAACTTAAGTTCATCTGATAAAATCAAATTTCACATTAAGGAATATTAAAGCATGTTAGGAAATGTACCAAATGATTTTGAAACGTTTGTTTTCCAGCAATGATGGATGATATTGAGGGGAGCCATTTGGTTTTGTTTTCATTATCTTAGAGCACAGAGCTGCAAACCCTGTGAGCTGAGGGCCAGATCTGACCTCTGCCTGCTCTAGTAAATAAAGTCTTATCGGAACACAACCTCACCAACTACCATGGACTTCATGCACCACTGAAGCAATCTCTTCGCTCCCTGTTGAGCACTCTGACTTCTCTCTGGGAAGAAGCGGTGTTCTTGTGGCTTACACAAATGAACTGTAACCAGTAAACCCGCTAATTCCAGAGCTTACCTTTAACCCCTGTACATCCTGGTCTAGGGAGGTTGTTATTGCTCAGGACAGATTTTTCCCTTCCAAATGTTCTCCACCCCCCACCCCACCCCCCCAGCTGTGGTTTAAGGAAAATGTGGTGGTCATAATTGTGGGATGTCCACAGAGCCCAGCCTGTGGCATACTCACCCCGTGAAGCACCATCCTGGGAGGTAGGTGGGCATTTGCAGAAGTGATTCCTCTTCCTAGTCGGCTGACTTGGAGTTAACCGAAGGAGACTGTCCTGACTGAAGCAGGAGGGCCCCTCGTAAGAAGCGAGAGAGAACTTGAGCCTGCCCTGAAGAAGCGAGCGGCCACACTGGGGAAGGTCTTTAAGACCACCTGTGAGAGGATCCCGTGGCCAGGAACTAGAAGCAAACTCAGGGAGGTGAGCATGGTTCCTGCTGGCAGCCAGCCAGAAAAAGAGACACTCAGTCCCAGAGCAAAATGAAAATGAATCAACCTTTCCCCTTCCAGTCTCTGATGAGCACGAAGCCCCCGTGGTGCACCCTGGTAAGACCCCAAAGTAGAGAGTCGGCTAAGTCAGCGCTGCACTCCCCACCAGAGAACTGAGGTCATAAGTGGGTGCGTTGAAAGCCGTGAGTGAGTAGTAATGAGCTACCCAGCCACGGAGATTGATGACAGAGGACAAGTGTAGTGAGATCAAGGGACACGTTTCTCAGCAGCTCCTTGGAAGGAAGAAAAAATGAAGCAAAAGGTTGGCCAAACTCAGACTCACCATGGCTTTCCTGAGTGAGACTACCTGGCCCACTGCGCCCTGGTGTTTGGGGAGTAACAGCTCTGGAAAGCAGTCACACCCCTGCGGGGCCCTCTCTACTACTGCGGTGGACCTAGAGCTCACGATGTGCCATGTACCTTAACACCAGAACTTGTTATTTTATAGTAGATAACCTATTTGTGAAAAAGAAATGACCAGATTTGTGAGTATATGGGAAATGCCAGAAGAATCAATTTAATTTCATATGGTCTTTTGATCTTAGTGTTTGGCTCAAAACTAGCATTTTGTTATAACATACTTTATTAAAAGCAGAAAAATAGGAACAATGACATTTGGGGACCATTTGTGATACTGAATTTTGTGATTCAAAAATGTCTACTGCTCAATGGCACAGCAAGCTCTGGTAGTGACGTGGATGACTGCTGGGAAGAGGGGAGGGAGGGCAGCAGCTACCAGGCTGGCGGGTGGCCGGGGCTGCACGCCCAGTGGCCGAATGCTGCAGCAGGTCCCCTTGCTGGTGAAGGCTGCACCTCACATTGTGTGTGCTGGAGGCTTAAGGTCTCTCTGCAAGATATGCTTCGGTTGGTCGAGACGGGAACAGAGGTGTGGGCGGCTGAGCTCTCATCCAGAGTTAGAAGAGGACCCTGCGTCCAGCTTCTTTCTCCCTGCTGGCAGAACCTGTTCCATTCTAATCCAGGACTGAGTCCTCCTTTCCTGCCCCTTGTCTTTGCCAATCACTGGACCTTTCCTAGACCTCCCTCTGGCCCTCATTGTGCACCTGTATCTCAGAGTCAGCAATGGTGCATGGAAACTTTCTCACTCTGAAATCTCTCTGGTTTCTCTTTCTGCTCTTTCTGTTTCCGTCCAGAGAAAGTTCTCCACTTTTAAAGGTTTATACCAGGAAGTAATTATACCAGACGGTTTAGGAGAATGTTCTAATTCTAAAATCTTAATTATAGTTATAATTTCTTTCCTTGCTGTGTATTATAACTTTCTTAGATTACAGAGATTGGGCACAGATATCTTTGGGGTTCATTATTCTTACCACCACAGGGTCACTCCCAGGAAGGCCAAGGTCAGATCCATCACAAGGCTTCCAACGCGTTCAACATGATTTAGCTACTTTCTATATCTAATCAATGGTGTGGGCAAGAGATTTACTATTGGGGCAGATACAGGTTTAGCAAAATCCATGTAGCTTATCTTGTGGTTAAAAATCAATGTCAGATTCAACTTTCTAAGTGGCTCCATGCTAGCTGTGTGTGGGTGTAGAGATGGGCCAACCTTGACCTATAGATCTTGCAAACATAAGTCTGATTTTTTGATAAAACAGAGGCAATAAAACTCAATGAATACTGATCTAAGTGATAATTCCACACTTCTTCATTGACTTCTTATGGTGATAAGATATGATAATCCATGTAATGACACTTGCCCAGAGGAGGTGCTAAACATGCCAGTTTCCTTGAGCCTTCTCCTATTTTATTCATCCATATTGGGGTAATAATTGAGTAGTTATTTATTTTCATGAAATAAAATTTTAAGAAACAGGAAAATGAATTTACAGTTTTGTCCATTATTCAATTTTTACTCAGTAATTCCCAAAAGTTTGAGTCCACTTAGGGACACTGGTAAAACAAACACAATTGAAATATCCAATGGTTAAGCATCTGGGCCACTAAAATGTTGCAATTTATACACATAAGATACATTGGATTAAATCAATGAATTGTAAGTAAATTATGTGGAAAGATATTTGATCTTTTTTTCTGTCTATGTATGGAACAGTTAAAAATGGTTTATTCTAAGAGTTTACAGATGTGTAAAAGTTCATAAATAATTCACACAATAGGACAATTGAGAATAATTTGGAGTCTATTACATCAAGCACTATTGTTTGTTATAAATATCTACATGACACTGAAACTCCAATTTCTTCTACATCCAAACATTAGAATTATTACTTGGCAATTAAGTCAGTGCCTCAATGAAGTTTCTCAGACAATACATGTAAAGAAGGGTTGCATGAAAACCAGTATTCTCAATGGCAGCTGGAGATTTCTCAGCTTATAAAATGTTGTGCTTTTGGGACGACATGAGGTTCAACTTTCAGTGCCTCGGATGCCTGCTCTCCTCCACAACCCCCACTCTCCAAAGGTCCCTCTCAGTCCCCTTTTCCTTTCACCTTGACAACCTCTGCTGGAAATTTCCTCACTGTAGCTTTGGGGTTCTGTTTGTGTTATTGTTCCTTTCACTGGGCTAGGAGCTCCTCAAGTGTAGAAACCACACATTGTTGACTTCTATTTCTGGGTCTAGTCTGGTTTTCTGGGTTAGAACTGGCTTTCGGTAAGCACTTTAGTTTAAAGCACTAGAGAACTTCAGTTACAGGCAGAAGTTAGAAAGACATTGAAGACAAGGAGGGAGATATGAGACCGAAAGAACACAGTCTCAGGGGGAAAAGGGAAGTTTGCAGAGAGAATAGGAAATCAGAAAAGGGTTTTAATATCAGTTATCTTTCTTTTGTCTCTAGTTTTCCTGAAATTTAACCTATTGAATATGGAGTATATACTACTATATATTTTTTTTCAGAAATAGTTTCAATTGTAAAATAATTCTAACTCACCAAGGGTGCGAAGAATTAAAAATATAATAAAAGAATAAGTATTAAAAAAAAAGAAAAGAAAACTTGAAAGCATCTGCGCCAATGATCTACTGACTTGAAGTTGTAAGGTTGTGATCAGAGTATTAAATCCAGTAAAGCATGCCTCACATATCTTTATTTTTAAAGTAGCATTTTTTTTCCATAATAATTGTTCAGTGAGCCTTCAGTGAAGGTGCTGGTCTCAGCTTCAACAGTGCCCCCAAACCCCAAACTCAGAATTAAAAGGCACTAGTGCTTTCCAGCTTGCCAGCCCCTGCGGAGGGAGGAGGCAGCTGGGACTGTGACTGGGTCCCCTAAACACTTGGTTCTAACTCAGATGAGCTGACCGCGCACAGACAGGCAGTCAGGAAGGTGCCAAATGAAGGTGTTCAGAGACGATCCAGGGTTTTCACCCTTTATGACTTGCTGGGGCTTTTCTAGGTAACCAATAAACGGTGCCTGAAAATAATCAGGAAGCACCATTCTGATGAATTATAATCTCTCCAGTTCAATCCTGCAAACCTTAAGGACTCAGATTTAACCAGTGCATTCCTAAGCATTTGCTGACTGATCTTCTTGCCACGGTTTGGGCTTGTTTGATACACACAGGTCATAATGCAAGACTTACGCCTTTGCTTAACATTTGTTAATCGTGTTGAAATTTGGGAAATTTAACCACAGTAGAAACCAAGTCCCAGATTCCTTCCTGTAATTCTCAATTAAATCTGTCTTATACCAACAAGAATATTCAAGATGTTACTTAGTCACTCATAAAACATTTATATGTTCAAGCTTAGTCATTTTATGGGAACATCAGGGGTTAAATTTATTGTTCAATTTCTGTTAAATATTTGAAGAGCTCATCTATAGCTTTATATTATTATAGCTCTATTACAGCTGAATTATTCATAAGGGCATTTGAAGAAAAATACAAATGTTCTTTCAAAACCAGAGATGGCTGTAGGCCCTAATGCCCTGTGGCTCATGCTAAGAGTTTAGGTTAGTCTCATAAAATTTACCTCACATTATCAGACTACAATGACCAATTGATTTTCCAAAGTCAGTTCTGGTCTCAGGTTTAGCAAGATGCACATTTCCATGTGCAACAGAGCAAGTGAATAGCCTCCTCAGTCAGGATGCCACACGAGGGAGGCTCCCTCAGGTGCACAGCGGTACCAGATCCCCTCAGGTCTCCGGTGCCGGGTCACGAAGGAGATGGGATTATTTTTTGTGGAGCACTTCCTGGTATGTGTGCCAGATGCTGCCGGATGACAAAAAAACAGCAAAACCAAAACCATAGCTCCATCTCCCTCGAATATCACTGTTGGCTGACGTGGCAATAAACAATCTGCCCATGACCCTGGCCTAATAGATGTGTGCAGATAGCCTTTGGGAACATGGGGCAGAGGAAATGCTCCTGCCTGGACAGAGCAAAGGCATTCTCAGAATTCACCCTCGCAAGGGTGTTCTCAGAAAGCTGGGGGGACAATAACACAGGGAGCCTCCGCTTTGCATCTCCCTCTGACTCTGCATGTGACTTTGAGTGAGTAATGCAAACTCTTGGATGCGGGGGTGATTCGTACACATCGGTTTCCTTGTTCATAAGGTGAAATAATAAGCCAAAGTCACAGATGGGAGAGCAACTCACAGGGTTGCTGCAATCACCAAGGAAGGATATGCTTTGTGACCTCTGCAAGGGAACAGACCAGCAAGACAGCTGGGCACAGACTTGGGGAACCCTTAATATCCCCAGAATAGGAGACTTTGCTTTGTAGGTCTGTTCTGAGATGGACGGTGAATCTGAGGGAAAGCATGTAAGCAGCATATCAGGATGAGTCGACAGGTCAGGGACTGCTGAAGAATCCGGGTCAGAGACAGTAACCGCCTAAGCTTGAGTCGCAACAGAAAACGGAAAGGGGAGGGGGACCTAAGGTAAGTGAGGAAGCAGAAAGAGTAAGACTCAGTACCTGATTTAATGTGGGGGGCAAGAATCAAAGAGGAATCGGAAATGAACATGTTTTTAGCCCATGCTGCAGTCATTGATCTAGAGAAGATGATGTTTGAGGAGCCGAGGGAAGCCAAGGTGCCCTCTGGATGTCCATGTCCACATAGGTGGGCACTGCAAAAAGAGGGCTCAGGAGAGAGATTGGGGACAGTAGTTAGATGATCCATCAGTGATTTCTAAATCAGGTTTTTGGTAATATAATTTTAGCATCAGTATTGGAAAGTGTTCTGGCCATAGTCAGGGAGCTCCAGAGCACATCCCAGCGTCTTCTGAGAGCCGTCCCTTTTCAGGAAGTGCTTACTAGTTCATGTCTAGAATAACTGACCCAAACCTTCACTTGGTGACGTGATACTTCTCTAACGGGGGGGGGGCTTCAGGACTGCAGAATATGACCGAGGGGCTTTGCCTTCTTAAAACCTGTTCCCCAGAGGGTCTTGG